CACACACACACACACACACACACACACACACACACACACACACACACACACACACACACACACACACACACACACACACACACACGCACACACACACACGCACGCACACACACACACACACTGCACCCAGTCACACCAATCGCCTCCCCTCCCCCTTCCCCCTTACAACCACTGCGTGCGCCATTCTTTCTCGAGCAGTTTCTTCCTCTCGTTGCATCTCCTTCCTCGTCGATCCCTCCAACCACAACCGTCACCATGCCGTGGAAGCCCCCTGTGAGTGATGCGTGCACGCACGTCGTGCACGTTGATGCGCGCATCTGATGGGATCGTGCTGCTCGCGCTCTGTTCGTGCACCTGGCTCACCTCTGGTTTTCGTGCCTTGTGCCTGTGCCTGTGTGTGTTCATGTGTGCGCTTGCGTGCGTGTGTGTGTGTGTGCCTGTGCGTGCGCATAGCCCATGCCCAAGTGCGCCCGCTGCGAGAAGTCCGTTTACCCGACGGAGCAGCTCAAGTGCCTCGACAAGGTGTGTGCGTTCAATTCACACTCAGACTCGCGTCACTTGATCGAGGGTGCGGTGGTGGCGTCAGTGACGAGGAAAAAAGCGGCAGAGCGGTGCGTGGCGATGGTGTAGAAGGCCTCTTGGTGCTCATTCTGGTCCAACAAGCAGTGCTTGCTTTCCAACCACCCACTAGCAACTCCTCACACTCAATGTTCACACACACACACACACACACACACACACACACACGCACACCCCAGCTGTGGCACACGTCGTGCTTCAACTGCGAGATTTGCCACACCAAGTTGACCATGAAGACGTACCGTGGCTTTGACAAGAAGCCCTACTGCAAGGCGTAAGCTTGCTTTGGATTGTTGTGTGCCGCCTGCTGCTAAAGTCAGACAGGTTTGCTTGGGCAAACCCGCTTTCCAGGAGACACCTTGCATGCACGCCGGCAACCGTCCATCCAAGTCACAACTCACCACAACATCCTCACCTGGTTTGGGTTTGGTGCCTTCCTTCAACCCCACAGGCACTACCCCGAGCAGCGGGCAACCCAGGTCGCCGATACACCCGAGTCCATGCGTCTCAAGAAGCAGGTGTGTCGCCTGGCTGGCAAATCCCTAAATCTTGCCCTGCTTTTTCGCGACCGCTCGTTCCTTGATGCTGCCATGGCTCACCGCCGCCCTCGCCTTACACTTGTCGCTTGCCCCAACACACACGCACACACACACACACACACACACACACACACACACACACACACACACACACACACACACACACACACACACACACACACACACGAACGACAGACGGAGCGCCAGAGTGTGGTGACGTACCAGAAGCAGTACAACGAGACCAAGGGCCACTATGTCGGTTCCTCCTCTGACAAGAGCATGGAGTCTGCGCAGCGTGCCGCTAACCTCGCCAGCAACGTCTCCTACAAGCAGGAGGCCCCCAAGATGGCCGCGCCACCAGCCCAGCCTGCCGCACCGCCAGCCCAGCCTGCCGCACCACCTGCTCAGCCTGAGCCTGTTGCCCAGCCTGAGCCCGAGCCGCAGCAGGCCGAGCCCCAGGCGCCGGCCCCTGCTGGCGGAGACCGCTGGGTGGCCGTCTTTGACTACGACGCGGCGGACAGCGACGAGGTCTCGTTTAAGGAGGGCGATGTCATCATCAACGTCCAGACCATCGACGAAGGCTGGGCTCAGGTGCGTGGTCTTCCTCTTGGTCCGCTGGAGGGGGGATTGGTGAGAAAGGGGATCAAAGAGAACAAACAAAACGGTGTGTGTTTGCAACAAGGACGGCGTGTGTTTCGTCATGCGAGTGAAGCGATCCAGCTCTCTTTTCACACGTCGCACATCGCCATCATCCGTGCTTCATGTCATGTGTGTGTGTGTGTGTGTGTGTGTGTGTGTGTGTGTGTGTGTGTGTGTGTGTGTAGGGCACCGTTGAGCGCACTGGCGAGAGCGGCATGATCCCCAGCAACTACATTGAAAAGGCCGAGGGTGGTGCCGAGGCGTCCCAGCCACCAGCACAGCCGGAGCCCCAGGCTGAACCAGAGCCGGAGCCCCAGGCTGAACCAGAGCCGGAGCCACAGCCAGAGCCAGAGGCCCCCGCTGGCGTACGTTACACTCACCTCCTGTGTTTCTGTGTGTGTGTGTGTGTGTGTGTGTGTCTGTGTGTCTGTGTCTGTGTGTCTGTGTGTGTGTGTGTTTGGACGCATCTTTTGCTGTCGCCTCTGGTGTCGTTGTTTGGCTTGCCTTGGCCATGAGCTCTGCGGTTTGTTGACTTCATGTCACCTCATCGTGGCCCTCCCATTTCGTTTCCTCCTTGCCCGCTCACTCCTTTTCTGTTGCGTGCATTCACCGTTTGGCCTGCCCCCCCCCCCGCCTCTTTCCCATTCACCCTTGCTGTTGCGTGCAGGACAAGTGGCGTGCGCTGTACGACTACGACGCGGCGGACAGCGACGAGGTCTCGTTCCAGGAGGGCGATGTCATCATCAACGTCCAGATTATCGACGAAGGCTGGGCTCAGGTGCGCCTCCATCATGCCTGTTTTGCTTGGAATCGTTGTCTCCACGCGCTTTCCGCCCTTCTTCCCTAATCTCCTCTCTCTCTCTCTACTCCCTCCTCTCTCTCTCTCTCTCTCTCTCTCCTCTCTCTCTCTCTCTCTCTCTCTCTCTCTCTCTCTCTCTCTCTCTCTCTCTCTCTCTCTCTGTGCTCATATCTGGCTGTCTCTTTGTCAATCCTCACTTGCACTCTCAAGTCATTGCTACCGACCACTTGCGCAGCTTGCGCACGTTTGCACGCACATCCCTCACCGCGCCTCACCTCAATTATTGCCTTGCTTTGGACTGTGTGTATCCCGCTTTCTTTTGCATTTAGGGCACCGTTGAGCGCACTGGCGAGACGGGCATGATCCCCAGCAACTACATTGAGCAGCAGTAAACTGCCATTGTTCACACACACACACACACACACACACACACACACACACACACACACACATACACACCTCGTGGCTTCTCCATGTCCCCCGTCCACTGCTTCCACAACTACCACGGACTGCAACACATCAACTGCAGCCACTTCCACTTCCACCACCGCCACCTTCACCTTCACCTTCACCATTACCTTCCTCTCCTTTGTATCCGCGTGCGCTCTTGCTTTTGTGTCACACCTTACCATAAACTGAACATGAGCCGGACAAATGTGCCTATCATGCCATGTGCCAGTGGAGAGCGGTGGCGTGTCGAGTCGCGTCGTGTCGTGCATGTGTGCGTGTGTGTGCTTCCTTGCACTTGCTGCCAGCACAACCCAACCCTAATCAAAACGGCACGAACGCGCAGCACACCACACACCACACCGACCAGGCACCGTGCATGTGCTCTGCGTGATGTGGGGAACAGAACGATTGCGATTGCTTCATTGCTCGTGTTGCCGCAGTATGTACGACTGACTGTATTTGTTTGACTGAGAGGTAACAGGCTGAAAGTCCTACATAAGAAGCAAGTTGTCCCTGACACACACACACACACACACATGAATAGCAAAGGGAAGACCAAAAGAAGAAGAAGAAACATGTGCCGTAAGTGGCGATGCTCATGCTGATGACGATGATGACGATGACGACACCAAGAACCGAAAAAAGAAAAAAGGAAGGACAGAAAGACAAAGGGCAACCAAGAAGGTGGCGCGTATGCGTTCACGTAATCACGTTGAGGTCCATAAGAACAAAAGCAGTTTGGTTGTTCGCTTACAGGCATTCGTATCATGCAATCAAGAATGAAGCAACCAACACATGCGGGTAATTGTCGTGAAAGCACGAGTACAAGAAGCATATCACAAACACAAACACAAACAAGCACACACACACACACACACACACACACACACACACACACACACACACACACACACACACACACACACACACACACACACACACAAAACATCACAAGGCTATGGCGGCACGAGCCACGATGCGGCCGGGGCAGTGCACCCGCGCCCATCGAGAAACGTTGGCAGCGACGAGCGACGAGCAGACACCATCGCCGAAGACGCGCACGGCTGCGACGACGGACGGATGGGTGCTGGTGGCGGCGGGGTTTGTGCTGTTGGTGTTGTGGCAGCGAAGGTGGCGGTGGCGCCGTTGCCGCGGAACATTGCGCCGGCGCTCCTTGCGCGCTCCGTGAACAAGGGGTTGGTGTCACTGTGGAAGTGGTAGCTGTGGCGGTGGTGGCGGTGCGTTGCATAGCTGGGGCGATGGCGGTGGTGGTTGTGGTCGCGGTCAAGGTCAGACTGGGAGCTGGCGCCACCAAGATGACGATGGTGGTGATAATGTTGATGTTGTTGGTGCTGATGCTGATGATGCTGATGCTGATGATGCTGATGATGCTGATGCTGATGATGCTGGTGATGGTTGAACGAGAGCGGCGATGACGATGGCGATGCTGACGAGGATGGAGGGCCCATGGTGGCGTGTTCCAGGACCGTGTCCAGGCTGCCTCGACGCGATGCGCCCAGCGACGCAGCAAGAACGTGGTAAGGCTGCTGCTGCTGCTGCTGATGATGATGATGGGGGCGAGCGTGGTGCAGGGTGTGGACGTTTTCGGTTTGACGGCGTTGGTGTGCACCAGTGTTGATGCTTGCGTCCTGTTCGCTGCGTTGCGGTGCGGCAGTTCGGGACATGTGTGCGGCAGCACAGGCCCCGTCTGCTGCCATCGCCGCGTCGAAACCTGTGCATGCTGGTGCAGAATATCGGCGCGTGGCCAGCATGTGCAGCGGCGACGGTGACGCTGCGCCATCCCGCACAACATCCTCGAATGCCCGTGTTGGCGATGTCGCTATGGCAGCAGCAACGTTGGTGTGGATTGTTCCCAGTGGCTGCCGCTGCTTGGATACATCAGCATGAACTTGCTGATGGTACTGCTGCTGTTGCTGTCTGCCTGCTGCTGCCATCGTAGCCAGTGCCGCTGTGAGCTGGTGCGGTGGTTGGTGCGCAGCCCTGTAGTTGAGCAGCTGTTGTGCAAACCAGTTGGCAACCAGCGGCGCAGAGTGCCGCCGCACAGATGCAGGATGCAATCGCGACGACTGCTGCTGCTGCTGCTGCTGCTGTTTTTGTTGTCGGTCAAAGCCGTGCATCTGGTCCAGGTTGGCAGATTTGCGGCGCTTCGTTGGCTCGTCGCCACTGCCAACACGCGGCGGCGTGGGCGGCTTCACAGCTGGAGCCGCGGTCGACAGCAACGGTGGCGCTGATGATGATGGTGATGATGAGAGCACTGCTGTTGCTGCTGCTGGTGCTGCTGATGATGATGATGATGGTGATGATGAGAGCACTGTTGCGGTGGCATCCGCAGCTGGCACCACGGACTGCTGCTGCTGCTGCTGGTCTTGGGGGGTCGTGGTCACATCAAGACGGCTGTCGTCATCCTTGTCGGTGTTATCGTCGGCAGCAGGAGGGGCGGGCCTGTGGCGGAGGCAGGCAATGCGGTCGTCGCGCTGGCGATGTGCACACACGGCGACGGCGTGGGCGAGGTTGTGGACGTCCTGATGCGCAGCATGCACCACACCAAACAGCGACGCCCGCCACGCATCCGCGGCAGCAAACGCCTTGGCGGGCGCGCACGTGCTGCTGGGATCAAGGTCGATCACAGTGGCAGCAGCGGTGGCGGTGGTGGCACGCACACTGCCTTGTTCTGCTGTTGCGGACATGGCGGGACGCTGGTTTTCATATCTGTCCCCACCAAGCTGTTCTTGCTGGTGTTGATGGTCTGAAGGAGGGGACGAAGCTGAATACTTGGCCTTCTTCGCCTTCTGGCCGCTGTGTGGCGGCGTGGCTGCCATCTCCTGCGTGCACGTGCTCGCTGGGGACGCAGGTGCGCCTGTCGTCGCCGTGGCGATGGCGGTGGTGGCCGTGGCGGCGGCGGAAGTCGTGGGTGGTGAATTGGAAGCTGCAGCGGTTGCAGTGATGGACGACGATGACGGGGGTGCAGCGGGCTTCCGTCTGTTTCGGGTGAGGGCCAGTGCTGCACGCACCTCCTCTGCGCTGAACACGTCCTCGTTGTTGTTGTCGGTGCATGCAGCCATGCTGAAGTCGGCGCTGGTGTTGCTGTGGGTTGTGTCCATTGCGTGCTTATGGTCACCATCGCCATCATCGTTGCCTTCGCCACTGTCATCGCGGGCAAAGGTGTGATGGTGCATGGTGGTCTGCTGCTGTGGTTGCTGCTGTGGTGGTGCTGGTCGTTGTTGCTCGGCCTGGCGGTCGCTGATGGGGTGCTGCTGGGCAATGGGTTGCTCAAAGGCTGCATCAAGCACGATGCTGCTGTCTTTGGTGTGGGCCATCTCCATGCGATGCTTGTGAGTTGAAGACATTGTTGTTGAAGAAGAAATGCGAGCTGGGGGTGGTCATGAGTTGAAAAGCAGAGTCAAGTGTTGGCAGTGCTGTCGCTGCATTGGAGGACAGCGCTGCTGGTTGTGGTACTGCTGCTGCTGTTGTTGTTGGTGCTGGTTTCCGGACGGCTGCAACAACAACAGCAGGGAGGAGCGAGCTTGGGCTCCGTGCAGTGAGTGAGGCCAGCAGGTTGGCTTATGTCGCTCTTCAGCCTTTCTCCCCCACCACTGTTCGTTCAAGCCCCAAGCTGGAGACGGGGAGCAAGATCGTGTGCGCCTACAACAAGAAGCGGAGGCAAGCAAGTTGCAGCACAGAAATGGCACATGCGGCAGACGTGTGAGGGTTGCGTGATGCAGCCGCTGCCTGACGCGGCGGGAAGGGCAATGTGAAAGGAGCAGAAACAGAAACGTGCAAGAAAATGAGAACAAAGGAGGCGAGGAGGAGCGAGTGGGAAAGCGGGCGGGTGATGACACCAAAAAAACCAGGCAGACCAGATAAGACACCATCCAGCCGACAGAACAAACAGACAAGACCCGACGGAAAAAGTGACAAGTCGTGAGACATGACTGTTTGTTTGCTGGTGGGAGAGTCGTTTGTGACATGACACCCAGACACCCAAAGATGACGATTCTTTGTGCTGGGGATGGTGGTGACATGACAACCTCGCTAGGCCAACACAACAACAACAACAACAGCGGCACGACCAACCAACCAACCAACCAAACACACGAGCCTGTTCATTCGTATCACAATCGGAATGAATGCTGATATCATCACGCGCGCGCGCTCTCGCGTGCAACCTCACCTCACGCACAACCACAGCACACCACCACAGCCACAGCACAGCACAGCCTCTTCCTACACACGCACCTGTATTGGGTGGTTGTCGACGCGCGTCGTGTCCGCGTGCCTTCTTTTGCTTCTTCTTGATGCGATGATCTCTGTCCTTCTCGTGTGTGATTGTCTGAGTCGTTGATCCGTTTGGAGCGACAAGCAAGCGAGCGAGCGAGCAAGAAGTCAGGCGAGGACGCAGAAAGATGAAAGAAGAACCGGAGAAAAAAAAAAGCGCCCTTTCGTGTCGCTTTGGCTTGGCTTGTGGCACGCAGGCGCGTGCGTGCAGGTCGCGCAGCGGGGTGGGAGCGGGCAAACGAATGGATGCGGTGGCGATGATTTTGACAGCAACCCCAAAATGGAGGACGAACGGGCGTGTGCGCGCTGCTTGTGCGTGTGACCTTTGTGAGTGCCCACGGCGCGAGGCAAGCCGCAGCCAGAAAAAGCAGAAGCAACGGGCAAGGCAACGGACGACGTCACACACAACAGCGTGAGCAACTACAGGAGGAGGAACACGATTGTTTAGGGGTTGCGGGTGTTTTGTTTTGGTTGCACGGATGCACGAGCAAGCAAAAGAAATATGCACAGTCAGCAGAAAAAATTGTGTTGTGCGTTTTTATGAAGGTTGCGGGTTGAAATCCCCAAGTAGCTTTTGGTTTTTTTGACGTGGAACGAGACGACACGATGGTGGCAGCGCACAAGAAGAAGCGACCACCCAAAGAACAACTCAGGGTAAAAAGAGACGTGTGCGTGTGCGTGTGTGTGTGTGTGTGTGTGTGTGTGTGTGTGTGTGTGTGTGTGTGTGTGTGTGTGTGTGTGTGTGTGTGTGTGTGTGTGCGTGCGTGTTTGCGTTTGCGTGTGTTTGTGTGAATTGCTTGCACTCGTGAACATACTTTGCACAGTCTTGCTCACACACACACACACACACACACATACACACACGCACACACACGCGCGCACACCAGATGACGACTACAAGGCGTTTCTGGAGGAGCTGACAAAGGAGCCGGAGCCGCTGCCGTCACTCAACGAATGGCTCAAGCAGAAGGAACAGGCCCTCAAGGAGGAAGAAGGTTGGGGCCATGCCTTCTGTACGCGCACATGCGTGTGTGTGTGTGTGGGGGGGGGGGGTATGCGTCGACAACATTCACGCACACCACCACCTTCATGCTTGCTCTCATTCTCGCCGTCATTCTCATTCTCAGTTGACCATTGCCTTCATTGACACTATCGTTGTCGTCTTCACAGAGCTGGCTGCGTCAACACCGCTGCAGCTGTATGTGAAGAACTTGGACAAGAAAACCAATATGGTGCGTCGTGCACGTTGTTTGTTCCACTGCACCACGCCAACACATACACACACATGTATGCAAATAAGCATGCGCGCATAGCATGCACCACGTATGCGCACTCGCCCTGCATAGCATGCACCACGTATGCGCACTCGCCCTGCACTCACACATCACGCACCACGTACCGTCACCCTGCACTCACCTCACACTCACCTGCGTGCCTGATGGGTGCAGCCGAAACGCAAGAAGGACAAGAAGAAAGACAAGAAAGACAAGAAGAAGAAGGAGAAGAAAGACAGGAAGAAAGAGAAGCGAGCAAAGGCCCAGCAGGAGGCAGCGGCCGCAGCGGTACGTCGTGCCAGAATGTGATTGCATCCTAGATGCTATGCCCGTGTGTGCGTGCGTGTGTGCGTGCGTGTGTGTGTGTGTTGAGTTGGGTGTGAATGTCTTGATTATTCGTTTGTTGCCATGTCGCGGTGTGCCGTGTACACGTCCCGTCTCACTCCGCACCCATCGCAATCATGTTTCTGGTTCGTTCTATCAGCAGGCAGCAACCAAGCCCTCCATCCATCCTACACAGCAGCAGCAGCAACAACAACAGCAACAGCAGCAACAGCAGCAGCAGCAGCAGCAGCAGCAGCAGCAGCAGCAGCAGCAGCAGCAGCAACGGCCGCCAACAAAACCCAAGCAGCAGCAGCAGCAGCGTGATGGCGGCGATGCGTCCCGTGGATCGCGGCGCAAGGAGCGGACCCCACGTGGCGGCGGCATCTACCAACCGCCAGGTGCACGCGGTGCTGCCCGTGCCCGCGACGGTGGCGAGCGCGCTGGCGATGGTGCTGATGGCGGCGCTGGTGGTGGTGGTGGTGGTGGTGGGCACGCTAGCGATGAGCAGCAGAAGCGTCGGGAGAAGCGTGCGCGGCAGCGGGAGCGAAGACGCGACAAGGCCGCCCGCAAGGATGGTGAACAGGGTACACCACAGCAGCAGGTGCATCGTGATGATGATGGTGATGCGGGCAGTGCACGTGGCCGTGGTCGTGGTGGTGGCCGTGGTGGCCGTGGTGGCCGTGGCCGTGATCGTAACAGGAAGAAGCGACAGCAACACGAGCCGCAGCCCAAGCTGTTGCAGCGTGGCCAGGATCTTCCGCCAATGCCAACAACAGAGGGCGGCGGCGGTGGTGGTCGTGGGGGAAGGGGCAGAGGAGGCAGAGGAGGAGGAAGAGGAGGAGGTGGTGGTCGTCGTGGTCGTGGTCACAGGGGTGGCGGTCGTGGTGGTGATGCTTCTTCTGCTTCTCCTCATCAGCCTCGTCAACAATAAAGAATTGTGCACCCTTTTTGAGTAATGATTTCCGATAAATTTCGTCAATCTCAGTGAACGACGACGACGACGACAACAGCGAAGGACACAAGAAGAGAGGAGAGGCTGTTGTTGTTTCATTAGCGTGTGCAGCAAGAAGCAAGCAGGAAGACTGTATGTCAGTGCTGCCACCCACCGCTCCATCATCATGGTGTCCCAGTAAGTACAGCAGCAGTGCATGTGCGCGCGTGTGTGTGTTTTGGTCGTGTGTTGCTTGTGTGCGCTTGTGATTTGTTTTCGCGTGGTGCTTGTGTGCGCTTGTGATTTGTTTTCGCGTGGTGCATCTTTGCAACTGTGCGTCTTCGCTGACGCGCCTGCTAATCGCGATGACTTGACGTGCATGGTGTGTGGTGTGGTGTGTGAATGCTTTTTGTTTGGTTGCGTGTTTTGCAACTTTGCAGGTATGTCGGACCACTGCTGAAGGTGGTTATCCTGGCCCTCGTCGCAGCTGTTGCGTTCAGCAGCCGCCTTTTCGCCGTCGTTCGATTCGAAAGCATCATCCACGAGTTTGATCCCTGGTACGGACGGCAGCGCATCGTGCCACGAGCGACATCGCAAGCATGCACCGGTTCACTTACATGCGCTACATGTGTGTGGGGGACATGTGTGCAGACAACAAGCTTTTCTCACCGTTATCACACACACACACACACACACACACACACACACACACACACGCACACACACGCACGCACTCGCACACACACACACACACGCACTCGCACACACACACACGCACGCACTCGCACACAATACACACACGCACTCGCACACACACACACGCACGCACTCGCACACAATACACACACAACTCAGGTTCAACTACCGCGCCACAGCGCAGTTGACGGAGAACGGGTTCTACGAGTTTTGGAACTGGTTCGATGAGCGTGCCTGGTATCCCCTCGGCCGCATTGTCGGTGGCACGGTGCGTTCCACGCGCGTGAAGCGATCCAACCCGCTCCGTTCACTCACCCCCCCCCCCTCTGTTTCACACTTTGCTCGTCTTCACACACACTGCCCACGCTTGACCCGTTTAACCAGCATGCCTTGCGTTTGGCATTGCCACTCATCACTCCCCTCCCTTTTCCCGCCCTTGTCGTTGTTGCGTGTCAGGTGTACCCTGGCCTGATGGTGACGTCCGGCACCATCCATTTTGTGCTCAACTCGCTGCTGCACATTCCCGTGCATATCCGCGACATCTGCGTGTTCCTGGCGCCGCTCTTCAGCGGGCTGACTGCTCTGGCCACGTTTGCCTTCACCAAGGAGGTCTGGAACGACGCAGCAGGCCTCTTTGCAGCAGCCTTCATCGGCATTGGTCAGACACATGTTGTGTGCGTGCGTATTTTTGTGTGCGTGTGTGTGTGTGTGTGTTGTGTGTGCTGTGGTTGTGTCTGTGTTGCGACTCTGTGTGTGTGTGCGTGTGTGTGCGTGTGTGCATGTTTGTTATGTGTGAATCTCCAGCTTGCTTGCGTATGTTTGTGTTATGTCGCATGCTTGCTTGCCTACGTGTTGCACACGTGCTTCCCCCGCCCCCTCCATGTTTGGTTTGCACCTGCTGATACACCACCTCATGCCCCGCCCCCCTCCTTCTGCCCTGTACCCATTGCTGCGCCGCCCAGTCCCCGGCTACATCTCACGCTCCGTTGCGGGCTCGTACGACAACGAAGGCATCGCCATCTGCTTGCTCATGGTCAGTCACCGCATCAACAAGCGTGCGCGTGTTCGTGTGTGTGTAGGTTTGTGCGCGTGTTGTGTGTGTGTGCGCGTGTGTGTGCGCGCGCGCGCGTGTGTGTGTGTGTGTGCGATATGCAGTTTATGTGCCTTTGCTCTCAACAGCTACCCTCATGTGCTCATGCTCCCCCCCCCCCTCAAACACCACGCGTGCCACCAGACGACGTACTATCTGTGGATCAAGGGGGTGAAGACTGGCAGCGTGGCGTGGGCCGCACTCTGCGCCCTCGTCTACTTCTACATGGTCGGCGCATGGGGTACGACTCGACACGACACGAGCATTGAGCATCGTGGTGGTGGTGGTGGTGGTGATGTGCCTGTTGTGTTGCTGCTTTGCTCGCTTGGCTTTGGGTGAGTATGGTGTTTGCTGTGTTGTTGATTGCTTGTATGATCGTTGAGACACCTTTTTTTTTTTTTTTTTTGTCTCCGCTCTTTTACACCGCCACAACTCGTTTACCCCTTTTCACACCATCGCTACGTCACACCCCCTCCTCCCCTCGTCCCTCTTGTTCAGGCGGGTATGTGTTCATCACCAACCTGATTCCGCTGCACGTGCTTGCGCTGATGGTGATGGGCAAGTTCACGTCGCGCGTGTACACGGCCTACACCACCTGGTACATCCTCGGGCTCATCCTCTCCATGCAGGTCCGGCAATCGATGCACGTGATTGTGGCGGCGGCGGTGGGGGGGGGGGAGGTGGCTTGCTCGCATCCCTTTGTTTGTTTGTTTGTTTGTTTGTTTGTTTGTTTGTTTGTTGCTGCTGTAAATCGTGGACGTGAGCGTGAACTTCCGCTCCGCCACACCCCACGCTCCCCACCCAACCACTCAACCATACAAGTACCACCACCGCTAACACCAAACACCAACCACCAACCCGCCACCACTGTTGTTATTCCTTTAGATTCCGTTTGTCGGGTTTCTGCCGCTCAAGACGAGTGAGCACATGGCTGCATTTGGCATGTTTGGCCTCTGCCAGATCTACCAGTTTGTCTCGTATGTCCAGACCAAGGTCTCTAAGGCCCGTAAGTTTTGTTGTCTGTGCACGCACGTGCGTGTTTGTGCGTATTTGTGCGTGTTTGTGCGTATGAGGTTGCGCTCGCTCGCACCACAGGCCGCACTGATGCATGATACGGTCACATGTACATGCACCTCGCGTGTATGTTCACACACCAACATACACCCTCTTGTTTTGTTTTCTCACATACATGTTCACATATTGGACTGTCGATTAAACACACACACACACACCACAACACAACAAACAACACACACACACACAACAACAACAACAACAACAACAACAACAACAACAACAACAACAACAACAACAACAACAACAACAACAACAACAACAACAACAACAACAACAACAACACAACGCCAACCGCTGTCGGGTGCAGAGTTCCAGACGCTGGCGTGGTCTGTCTTCTACGGGGCGCTTGCGCTTGCTGTCCCCGGGCTGATGGTGCTGACGCACCTCGGATATGTCGCCCCCTTTCAGTGGCCGATTCTACTCCCTCTGGGACACCCGTGCGCTCACTGTCCAGCGCAGCGCTATCAGGGCAGGTGGTATCTGGGGTCGCGGTCAATGTGTCCGCGCTGGACGTGTGTGCGTGTGCTTGTGTTGAATGT